TATATATTTTACGTCAGGTGCAGTCTGTATATATATTTTGCGTCAGGTGCAGTCCCCATAAAATTTCCACCAGTTCACCTGTGCACCATCACCTTAGTCCCTTGTGCTCCTCCCGCCATCATTTTATCCCTGTTCCCTCCCTCCTCTTTTGCAGACTGAAGAGAGCCTATTCTTAATATGCTCCCCAACAAAACACCTAAATCACCCTCCCCCATGAGCAAACGCCAGGCCAAACAGGGCCGGCCTGAAAGCTTGCCACAAGTCTAAGGCATCTCCTTAGGAAGATGGGTTCTGGAAGGGAAGGGGTTCTAGAGCAAGGCGCCCAAAGAGCTGGGTCAGAAGGAGACAGGCATCGCAGCTGCCACCATCAGGCTCCCTGTGTCGCTCACCAAGCCCCTGCTGACATGTCAGGCAGCAGAAGCAAGGGGGCTCTCCGAGCCCTCCTGCCTTCGTGCTATCAATATACAGCTTCGCCTGGCCACTCAGTGTCGCTGCTCATTCCAGTAGCCCCTGCTCAGGAGGTCCATAGGCATACTGGGATTTGGAGTTCAGGTGCATGCACGTGCAGGTGCCTCCCCTAACACCAGACCTTGTGTCACTCCAGAACTCATGATCCCGATCATGCGGCTCTACTGTCTCCAGAGAACAGCTGCCAAGACCAGGGCAAGACCTGCAGTTATCTCCCTGGAACTAAGTTCCGTTTCCCTGAAACTACCTAAGAGAGCACTGAGGTTTTTAAATCAGCAGCCAAGCCCAGCACTTTTTAAAGTGTCTGTCTTCTAAATGTTTCACTCCGGGGGTGGGGGTGGGGTCCACGTTTAGGCAACACCACACTCCTCCTCCTCCAAGCACAGCTGAGTTCCTGGTCATACACCTCGCCCTTTGCCCCAGACTCCTGAACCTCATGGCTTTTTGTGGGTGGGACAGACAAGCATGCTACAACCGCAGTCTGTCCTCCGTCCTTGCAAACTGGGAAAATCACCCACCAGCAGTAAACTTGCTC